CGAGGTCCTTGGTACAAATTATCAGCATGCATCCACCTTGTGACCTTTTTGTTCTGTGCCTGCTAAGTCCTCATGAAGCCTTTCTCCTAGGGTTTATAATCTGGTGGAAAGATGAAAATGAGGATAATAGGAAGAACAGAAGGAGGAAGAGGAAGAGGAGAAGGAGAAGAAGGGAGAAGAGGAGGAGAAGGAGAAGAAGTAAAAAGAACAAAAAGCCCCAGAAGAGTATTAACCATACACGCATTTGTCCATTTGCGGGGCATGTGCTGGGTGGTGCACACCTGTAATCCCAGCACTTGGGAGGCTGAGGCAGGAAGATAACCATGAATTTGAAGCCAACCTGGGCTACATAGTAAATTCAAGACCTGCCTGAACTGTATGGTGGGACCCTGTCTCAAAATACTAAAAGCAAACAAGACAAAGCAACAGGCTTGGTGCACTGGGCCAGACCTGTAACCCTAGCTACTTAGAAGGCTGAGACAGGAAGATGACAAGCTTAAGGCCAGATTTAGGCAACCTTGTGTGAGTTTGTCTCAAAATAAGAAATAAGGGGTAGACTTGTGGCTCAATGATAAAGCAATCCTGGGTTCAGTCCTAAGTGTTGCAAAATATATGAAGAAAGAAAGCTAAAAAGAGTGATGGGCATGGTGGTCCAGGCCTGTAATCTTAGCAATCTGGGAGGCTCAGGCAACAGGATCATAAATTTGAGCCCAGTCTGGGCAATTTAATAATTGATCGAGACCCTGCCTCAAAATCAAAAATAAAAAGGGCTCAGTGGAAAGTCTGTGAGAAGAAGCTTGAAGAGGAACAGTCAGGAAGCAGCTGTCGTTCATCTGCAGGGCAAGGCGGATGGAAGCGGTGAGAAAGCCCGCGACGGAGGGTTCCGAGGTGCAGCGGAATCTGAATCTGAGCCCTAAAGGATGCCAAGGGGTCACCTGGCAGATCCCAGCTGAAGGATTGGCCAGAGCAGAGGTTTGGAGGAACGGCATGCTTTGCCATGACGGTAGGGACGGAGGGGAGGTCACAGCTGATGGATGGTGTCCATAGTGTTCACAACATGCGAGGACCAAGGGCAGCTCTAACCAGGTCTCCTTGTTTTGTGCTGGTGACTTCCACTTCCTCCAAAGCAGTTGTGACTCTTCTTAGTGAGGGGAGCATCCTTTATTTGGCAGATCCAACACTTGGAGGCCTTTCAGATAGAAGAGGCAGGATTTTCCTGTGGGGCTGTGTTTGCCAAGGGGCCTGAACTAGCAGCAGCCTACCCACTGGCAACTTGTTAGGAATGGGAACTCTTGGGCCACCCCAGACTTCTGAATGAGACTCTAGATGCTGGGCTCAGCAGTCTGTTTGCAGCAGACGCCCGCCGAGGCAAGCCAAAGCCCGAGAACCACCACCCTGGAGTTTCCTTCCCAGCTCCTGCTCAGACTTGTACCAGATGGAGCTGACCAAGGTCAGTCTCCGCCTCCAGGGCTGGGCGCAGGACCCGGTGAAAACTTACAGCTTTCTCTGCATTAAAACCACTAAAGTCCTGAATTGTAAACTGGAGATGCTAGGGGCTGCATCTGCCACTTGGACTGGTAGAATTAAGGGATAGATTCTCATAGATTCTCAGTGACTCTGAACGTTTGAAGCCTGCTCTCCCAGGAAGCCCCTTTTCTTGTTTTTGCTTTTTATTTTTTGTTTTTCTGAGACAAGGTCTTACTGTGTAGACCATGCTGGCCTTGAAGTGACTATTTGGATCTGGATGGGCTTGGATTTACAGCGATCCTTCTGCCTCAGCATATTGAGTGGTGGGATTATAGGTGTGTGCCACTTTGAATGGCTGAAGTCCCTGCTTTAAAAGCATCAACTACAGAATTTTGAACAGCCAGCAATGAATGAATGCTTATTCCTAGCACTCAGGAAGCTGAGGCAGGAGGATTGCTTGAGGCCAGCCTAGACTACATAGTGAGACCTAGTCTCACAATACACACACACACACACACACACACACACACACACACACACAAATGTTTATCAATTCAGTAATGGGGGAAGAAGGCAGATTCTACAAAGATTTCTGTTAAGGCACATTCTCAGGTGTTAAGGTAAATAAAGTTGTGACATGGAGAAATAGGAGATCATGAGGTACTATATGCACTCATAATACATACCACACCAAAGTGAACAAATTTCCACAAGAACATGCCAGAGGTCTCTGGAGCATAGTCCATTTATTAAATTCTCATAGACAGCAGGGCATGGGTGGTACACACCTGTAATCCCAGGTACAGGGGAGGCTGAGGCAAGAAGACTGCAAGTTTGAGACCAGTTGATACCTGGCTGGGGATGCAGCTTGGTGGGAAGGTCCTGAGTTCAATTTCCAGTAGCATGAAGAAGAAGAAGAAGAAGAAGAAGAAGAAGAAGAAGAAGAAGAAGAAGAAGAAGAAGAAGAAGAAGAAGAAGAAGAAGAAGAAGAAAAAGAAGAAGAAGGAGGAGGAGGAGGAGGAGGAGGAGGAGGAGGAGGAGGAGGGGGAGGAGGAGGAGGAGGAGGAGGAGGAGGAGGAGGAGGAGGAGGAGGAGGAGGAGGAGGAAGAGGGGGAGAAAAGCCTGGCACCATGGAGAAACACAGGCTTAGATAGTACATAGAATTCTGTCTGCAAAGTCACCTTAGATGACTTTGCAGGACAGAGACTCTCAGTAGTGTGGGTTATTGGGCCCTTTGTTCCACTCAACAAGCTGTGTCCCAGAGCAAGTGAGAGATGGAAGCTGGGACTCTGTCAGAGGAGGCTGAGCACCTAGCAGCCCCCACTTATCCCACCAGCCAGTCCTGCTTGTAGTACAGAAATGGATGTTTCTCATAACTGCGCTGTCACACTGAGGGGACTAGTGAGGTGCTTGAGCCAAGGAAACATGACATGATGTGCTCCAGTGGCGTGTTCTGGGTGATAAGGGGCCAGGGCACCTTTGAAGGTCTTCACTTTCCTAACTTTGGAAACCGTGGTCAGGATAATTTGTAACTGGGCTGGCGATTTAGCTCAGTGCTACAAGCACCTGCCTGGCAGGTGTGAGGTCTTGAATTCAATACCTGGTACCAAAAAAAAAAAAAAAAAAAAAAAAGATAACTTGTAACAGTTGAACAGTTAAATATGGTTAAAGATGAAGATTCAAAACATAGGACAGATTTTATAGGCAGGCCCAAATGAGCGTGAGAATATTCAGTTAGAAAGTTCAGTGCCCAGTGTAAGCGCATGAAAAGCAGATTTAGCATGACTGCAGTTTATGAAGACTGGGCTTGAGTTGATTTGTTTTTGGTACTGAGAATCAAACCCAGGACCTCACGCTTGCAAGGTGGGTACTGCACTGCTGAGCTAGATCCCTTTGAGTTGATCAACCTGCAGGGAGAGGACCCCAGGACAAAGATGTAGAGTGAAAACTTTCCTGTAAGACTAGACTTTGCGATCAGTGTTGGGTTTCTTTATTCACTTATTTAGTTTTTGTACTGGGGAGCAAACTCATGACCTCGTGCTTGCCAGGCAGGTGGTGCTGTGCTGCTGAGCTACATCCCTTTAGAACTGGAGACAAAGGTGCTAAGGGACAGCTCAGGGACTGGGTTTTTCTTTTTTCTTTTTCTTTTTGAGACAAAGTCTCATTACGTAGCTCAGAATAGCTTTGAACTCTATGTATCCCAGACTTGCCTTAAATTAATGGCAATCCTCCTGCCTCAGCCTCCTGGGTGCTGGGACTAGAGGCGTGCGCCATCATGCCCAGCTTGGAACCAAGCTTTTTTTTTTTTAACTTAGGAAAGAGATTTTTGGTGCAATAAATATCTTGAAATAGTCAAAGGGATCTCACACAGAGGAGAGATTAAACTTGTTCAGAGTGGCTTCAGAGGGCTAAATAAAAACCACTGTACAGCAGAAGCTATCTAAGGGGAGGTGGATTTAGCCCAGGATGAGACTGCTTTCATGATTAGAGCTGTCCAAATACGGAACAGGCCGCCTTTTGCAACTTCCATGCTGGACAGGAGGGTGGTATAGCACTGGGAAGTTGGCTGGGGCCTCTTTTGCAAGCCACTCTTTGTACTGTTTTTTTTTTTGCCTTTTACCAGTGAAGCCTTCCTCTTCCTCTATTCATGGAGGCAACTCACTGCCTAGGAGAAGCAAGGTGGAAACTTGTTAGGATTGAAGTTCTTCAATCAAGTCATTCATCTCTCTTGATCAGTTTCTCTCCTTCCTGTCCTCAATTAATATGGCTTCAATCATTACTGGAAGAATATTTCTTTCTTTTTTTTTTTTTTTTTTTTTGGGTACTGGGGATTGAACTCATAATCTCATGTTTGCCAAGCAGGCACTTACGCTTCTGAACTGAACTCCCAGCCCAAGGAAGAATATTTCTAAAACCTATTCCAACTTTTAAAACTTTATTAACAAGAAGCCAATATGATGCATAAAATAGGCTAAGCCCAATTTTATTTTTATAGAAGAGAAACTAAATATTACGGTCTTCAGGAAGCTAGCTTATGATCAGTTTTGGCAACCTAATAACAGGTTTGAGATCCGCCAGAAGGTTGAGGGACCACGAGTGTATGATAGGATCTACATGCTGTTGATTCTGGGCTACATATCACAGTTTAAGAGTATTTCAGCCTCCAGTAAACAAAAATTTTGCAAAAAGCAGTGTAGAAGGTGATGGGATGTGTAAAGTTCAACTTTCTCATCTCTGAGAAACCTGCAGTGCAGTCTAACCTTGGTTTTGATCCTCCTCCCCCAATCCACTTTATTTCAAGGAGAAAAAGAAGAAAAAAAATTAAGACAAAATTTCAAAACACATCAATCGTTGACCCTTTTCAAACTGACTAAACTTCACATAGGCAAGTTGTTCAGAGGCCCTCCAATTTATTTCCCAAATGAAAATCAATGAACTTGAGTTCAGCAAAAATTTGCTGAGGGCCTCCTTTGGGTGAGGCTTGGCAAGTGCAAGACTTAGAGGGTGAGACAGACTGTCATCTGTTCATACAGCAGGTGTTCCATAAGTGCTGTCCACGAGGGACTCTGCTGCATGCTGAAAATGGACAAGAGAGACAAGGCCTGCTCTGGAGTGTATCCTGTTCCTCCAAGAGCCCCCGTCAATGCACAATAGTCACAGGTAAGTGCCATAGAAAAAAGTGTGATGACAGTGTCCTGATACTCTGAGTGTCCTGAAAGAAGGGGAACTAGGGAGGAGGAGCCGTTTCAGATAATAAGCAAAAGTGTCTTCGAGCAGTGGTCCGTAAGCAGCTGAGATGGCGATCAGTTGGAAAGAGGTTTGCCAGGACCCGAGGGAAGAAGTTTCCAGACAAAGGCTGAAGTTAGGAGCCCCTTGGAAAGCTCAGCATTGCACCAACAGGTACTGCAAACCCCAAGCAGACTGGACTGCAGAACTGCTCCAAAGCCAACTGCCTACAGTAATTTCCAGCTGGAAAAGGTAATCCTCGAGCCTTTAGGGCTTCTGTTGGTGCCAAAAGAGATGTGGGAAGGCCCAAGTGGCAAGCAATGGTGCTGAGCTAGTCTCAGAGGGCACAGCTCTCCAGGACCACACCCTGCCTTAGTCACGTGCCCTAACCAGTTTCCACCTTGCTTCTCCTAGGAAGCGAGTTGCTGCCGTACACTAGAATTCCTGTTTGTTTCGTGTAGGGTTCTGTTGGTCTTTTTCCAAGTATCAATCAAAACTGCACGCCGGCCTCCACTCCTTGGAAATAATTAAATGAAGTGACGTGCCTAATTTTTTTCCTACCGGGTAATGCACCGTGATTTGCATCATCTGTTGAAGGAATCTATCTTGAGTCCTAAGGCTGAGCCATGTGGGATGACTGAGGTGGAATTTTTTTCCTCCTCTGCTTATGCTCACGAGGACGGTGCCCTATGGCCCAATACACCACCCGGGTGGACAAGACTGCTTTACTCGGCAGCCTATTCGTCTCAGTGAGCTGCTCCTTTGTAAACATGCCTCTGAATTCAATGCAAAGAAGGTTTCTTCCCTGTGGTAGTTTGACGGCTTTAGATTGCCAGCGTTATGACCTAGGTTTTGTGTAAGACCTCAAGGACAGGCGCAAATACTGGGGTTTAGTAAGAATAGGTTTTGGATTTAAGGTTTTCTCCCCTCCCGGGAACCGGGGAGCTGCACACCAGCCTTCAGCTCGACGCCAGAGCCGAGCTCCTCGGAGCACAGGTCTCGGTGCCACTCCGCAGGCACCGCCGCATAACCTGCGACTTCTATGCAGACGTGTCACCGGCGGTGTGGGCTATTACAGATGAAATAAAACACCCTCCCTCCGCCGTGGCGCAGAAGCCGCAGGGGTAGGAAGGGCTGGTGCCGGCGTGCGCGGGAGCTCGGGTGTGGGATGCGGTGTTCCCGAGGCGACAGATGAGGGATTTTGGCTGTGTGGGAAGGGAACTGCGGAATTCCTCCCCTCGGCTCCGGAGGGGGATTCTCGAGGTGACAGATCGGGATGCGGAGCGCGGCCCAGGCTGCCAAGGGCGAAGAGGCGAGTCAAGGACACCACACGGAGGGCGCTTCGGGGACGCCCGGCGTGGACCGTCCCCTCCTCGTCCTCCCAGCCACCACGCGGCCCCGGGCAGACTCCGAGGGCTAGCGGGGCCCACAGGGAAGCGGGTCAGGGAGACCCCCGCGAATCCCCGATCCCACGTCTGAGGGTGGGTGGACCGGGCTGGAGAACCGCCCAGGTCGACGACCTCCGCCACTCGCCCTCCGCAAGGCCCCCAGCCGCACCACACACCGCGCGGGCGCCGCACGCAGCGCGCGGCTTCGATCCGGGTTCCTCGCAGCGGTGCGCGCGAGGGGGCGGGGCCTGCGCGGCGGCGGCGTGGGCGCGCGGGAGGGAGGGCGCCGCGGGGAGGAGGCGGGGCCGCGCCGCCCGCGCCGCGCTGGGCGCTCTCGACCAATGAGCGGCGTCCACATGCCGCGGCGGCGGCGAGAGGGGAGGCAGCGACCGATAAATGCTATTAGAGCAGCCGCCGCGGAGCCATCCCCGACGCCACCTCCTCCTTCTCCGCCGCAGTTTCCTCCGCCGCTGTCGGGGGTGCGGAGCTGAGGGATCCCGGCCAGTGCGCCGCGCACCTCCCTGCCGGCTCGCTGCCCTTGTTCTGTCCCGCCCCGAGGGTCGCCTGCGCCCCCTCCTCCGGCCCGGGCGGGGCCGCGGATCGCCTCAGCGGAGCGGGGAGGGGGCTCGGGTGCCGCGCGCGGCCTGCTCTCCCCGTGGGCGGCCGAGGGCTAAGCAGGCCCTCCCTTCTGACGCGGGGAGGGAGGGTCGGGAGCCCGGGGCGGCCGCCGGCGAGGCTCCGGCGCGAGAGGGGCGGTTGTCTGGGGGAGGGGGCGCGGGGTGATTCAGCGCCCGGCGAGGCCGAAGCGGCGGAAGAGAAGGAGGGATCGGCGCCTGGGCGTCCGGGTGGCACGAGCCCGCCGCCCGAGAGCGAGGCGGAGACGAGGAGGCCGCGGGGACGGGAGGCGAGGCCGGCCGGGCCCCCGCAGCCATGGAGAACGCGCACACAAAGACGGTGGAGGAGGTGCTGGGCCACTTCGGTGTCAACGAGAGCACGGGGCTGAGTCTGGAGCAGGTCAAGAAGCTCAAGGAGAGATGGGGCTCCAACGGTAGGTGCCCGGCGCCCGGGCTGCAGGGCCTCCGCGCGGCTCCCGCGGGCTCGAGAGCCGGGGAAGATGGCTGACCGGGCTCCACCTCGTGGGTCTCGGCCCCGCGCTCGCCGACGACGGCTGCAGACGGCGGGTCGGCCTGCGCGTCAGCCCCGCGGGAGACGGGCTGGGGCCGCTCGGAGAACTGCGATCGGTAGTGGGCGATCGGCGATCAGGGCCCTCGATCTCCCGGGGGTCTCGAGCCTTTGACCTTCGCAGCGTGCAGCTAGCCGGGGTGGCGAGGGCACTGTCTGCTGCTGAAGCGGGGTTGAGCCTAGCGAGACGTTTTTGCTTGTCCCCAGCCGATGAAGGAGGCATCCATGTAGTAGAGAAACCTTCTGCGGGTTCTCGCGCTATCCGAAGTTACACATCTGGCAGGAGTGATGACCCAGCTGAAACGACGCTTCGTTTCAGGAAGCCCGAGTGATTTTTCCGGCTAGATCGCAGGCCATTGAGATCTAAGTCCTGCATATTTTCTTGGGATACCGTTTTAGAATGCTTTCTTTTTTTTAAAGAGCTTTTATTAGGGAAATAGATGATAATGTACATATGTTTTAAGTTTTTTCAAAGATTGATGCTTTTAATTTTAGCAGCTATTTTAGAGTGTGTGCTAATTTTTTTCCTCTTCTCTCTTGACACGTGCCCGACGAATTTCTACTTTTAGAGTTACCGGCTGAAGAAGGTAAGGAGTCTTAAACATGGTACGTGTGTGTGTGTGTGTGTGTGTGTGTGTGTGTGTGTGTGTGTGTGTGTGTGTGTGTGCGCGCGCGCGCGCGCGCTCTCGATCGCGTGCTGGCGGTGTATGTGCGCGCGCAGATGTTAAGAGTATGATTAATGACAAGTATGTTTGTTTCTAACAGGAAAAACCTTGCTAGAACTAGTGATTGAACAGTTTGAAGACTTACTAGTTAGAATTTTATTGCTGGCAGCATGTATATCTTTTGTAAGTATACTAAAATTTATTCCACCCCCTCCCTTTTGAAAATAATCCATGGACAAACCAGAATACAAATAGTGTCCATTGGATGAAAACATTTGGAGTTTTAAACTGTCTTCATGTTTAAAAATTAATCTTGGGCCGGGGATTTAGCTCAGTGGCATTGGCGCTTGCCTAGCAAGCACAAGGTCCTAAGTTCGATCCCCGGTACCGCAAAAAAAAAAAAAATTATTTTAAAATTATAAACAAAACACTCAAAGCTGTTTGTGTTCATAAAATAGATGATTGACATTTACAGTGAGAGGAAAATTGTTCCCAAATATATATGCAGAGTATATATATATACTCTGCAAATATATATGAATGTATATATATACGTTCATGTAGTTTGTCTGCTTTTAGTATCAAAAGGTTGTTCATTGGGAGGCCTTTTCTGTTTGGGGTTCTTCCATTTGTTGTTGCGTTGTAAGATCATACTAAGATGATGTTGGGCCCTTTGTAGTCTGTAAATAGAACTTACAAAAGGAATATTCCAGTTGCTTTCTCTTGCTGTAGTGGCAAAGTGACAGTTGTCAGTGACAAGAATGATGACAGCAGTGATGGCACCATTGTTGACCAAATTTGGTCACTGACCTTTAGGGTGGTATAATTGGACCCCTATCTGTGATTCCTGGGTTGAGAGAACAAGGTTTAATATGATTGGTTCTAAATCTTAAAAGGCGAAAAACCACTGTAATTTTTTTTTTGTTTGTTTTGTATGTGCCTGCTTACTTGAGTCTCCTATGGTTGCTAAGAAACTAGTGAAATGCAAAGAACTACAGCAGAAAAAAGATGATGGAGGTGGCAAGGTTGTTTCTAGGTTTTCAGCATTTTTTTCTGTTCAGTATTTTTTATTGCCCTTTTTCCTTAGTAGTTTTCCTAAAAATGGTTATGAGTAGGACACAGATATTTCTCACCTAAGCGTGATGTGCCTTTTGTTCTTAAAGTGTTTTATTCTTTAAAAAATTGTGATGGGGAGTGAAAATCACCCACTACAATACTTAGAGGTTTTGCAAAATTGACATGGCTTCAAAGTTTGATTTTTGTATGTTTAGGTGCAGGCAGAATCAGGGAATCTACTGCAGTTTTTTAAAAACCATACCGTAAAGGACCATATTATGAAAGCTAAATAAAGCAGTAGGCATTTGTTTTAGTTCAGGTTAGGTTAATTGCATGCTTTTTTTTTTTTTTTTAAGTTGATAATGGGGATAAGAGATGACTTTTTGGAGTAATTATGTATATAAATTCTGTCATGAGGCTTTAATATCTCATGTTAACCAAGGGGCATTTAAACCATTAATAATTTAGTCCTCAGTCTTTTTTTTGGTTTTTACTGACTAAAATTGAGGCTCCTTCAGTATACTGAATTTTTGCTGTGTACCTCTTGTTGTGTGTGTTTCTATGATTAATTAAAAGTAAATTCCTCTTAGTAAGTGGGTGCTGATTTGCCAATTAAGATAACAGACTAGAGCAGTTTGATTAACTGTAGTTTCAGTACACTAGTATGGGGCATATCAGATATATTTGGAGATACTTTAAGGTTATATTTGTGCTGGCTACGTAATTAATTTTGAAATAATCTCAGCTTTGGCTATTAAATACTAACATGCAATAAGGTCATTGGAGATGTTTTAGGAGTAAGTTAATGTATATAAACGAAAGGAAAAATGCATTTTTCTTGAGTTATTCTGTGTATTACAACTTGAAGCAGTCTTAGAAATGATGCCCATAATGTAGCAATAAGCTATTCTCAGAGGGTCTCCTTAGAGTGAGTGGTCAGTGTGTGATTGACTATTTAGTATTAGTATGTAGAATTAATGATGTGTGATTCCCCCACCCACGTTGGTATTGGGGATTGGGTCCAGTGCCTTTTTGTACTGAGCTTTTTTTTGTACTGGGACTCGAACTCATGACCTTGTGTGCTTGCCAGACAGGCTCTGTGCTACTGGGTTATATTGCTGGCCTGCCTGGTTGTTTTAGAGACAGGGTCTTGCTGAGTTGTCCAGACTGCCTCAGCCTCCCAGAGTGCTGGGATTTACAGGTATGTCTATCACACTCTGCTCAAGTGGGTGTTTCATTTTTGTTTTTTTGAGACAAGGTCTCACTATGCAGTTTTGGCTAGCTTTGAACTCACTATGTAGTCCAGGGTGGCCTCGAACTCAGGTGATCTCCTGCTTCAACTTCTATAGAGTGTTGAGTTTATAGGTCTGTGCCACTATGCCCTGCTTCAAGTGGGTTTCAGAATACTGAAATTATTTTATAAGGTATAATGTTCCCTTTTTTTGGGTAGAGGGGTGGAGGTTTGTTGAGACAGGGTCTCAGTAAGTAGTCTAGGCTGGCCTGACCTCACCATCAAGCCCAGGCTAACCTTGAACTAACATCGGTCTTCTTAAGTGTGCCACTATGCCTGGATTGACATTGCCTTTTTAGAGAGCTCTATTTTGGAAATGAAATTTGAGATCCTTTTTGGTAATTTGGAGTCAAGAAATAAGCTGTTACCTTTTTAAAAAAATTTTATGGAATGGTGAATAGGAAAAGAGTAGGTGTTTAAAAAATAACTTAAGTTATAGAGGTCATGTAATTCAATTTGTTAGACCCAAAATTTGTAGACACAAAATGAGTTTTGATTTTCCTCATGGGGTTGGCACTACTGCTGCATTGTACTTGACCTTTTCATTTGTTATTTATCTTTAAAAAAAAAAAAAAAAAGCACTGACTTTTTGTGGCAGTGAGTGTATTTCTGTTTGGTTAATAGAAAAAACATGATAGAATATTCAGGTTCTTTTCCGGAAAGGAATAGGCAATACATACATAATCATGTTAAAAAGAATATTATTTATTTCAAATATGAGGCTGAGTAGTAAACTTTTTTTTTTTTTGTCTTTTTCATTTTTATCGGTACCGGGGATCGAACTCGCGACCGCCTGCTTGCAAGGCAGGTGCTTATGCCACTGAGCTAAACCCCCAGCCCCTGAGTAGTAAACTTAATCATAACTAATATTTGGCTAAGGCAGAAAATAAGAAACTGCATTAATATATTTAATGCTTGTAGCCTTATGTAGCCTCAGCGCTTATGCTGCTGAGCTAAATCCCCAGCCCCAAGTTTTTAGTTTTTTGAAACAAGGTCTTGCTATGTAGTTCAGGCTGGCATTGAACTCATTCTATAGCCTAGGCTGGCCTCAAACTTGTGGTGATCCTCTTGCCTCAGCCTTCAGAGTGGTGGGATCAGAGGCATTTGCCACCACAGATTGCATTCTTAAATCTGCAAACAGTGTAGTCTTTGGCCTGAGATTTAGCTCAGCGGCAGAGTGTGTGCCTGGTAAGCGCAAGGTCCTGAGATCCATCTCCAGTACTCCCCCCAAAAAAAAAGAATTATAAAAAGCATTATCATGTTTGTTCATAATCTTTGTCTTAGAGTCAAAAAAGAATGAGTTATTTAGGAGGCTGAGGCAGAAGGATCATTGCAAGTTTGAAACCAGCCTGGGCTATAAAGTGTGTTAAAGGCCAGCCTCAAAACTGCATAGCAAGACTGTCTCCAAAAGACCAAAAAATTCTAATTTATTTTGTTTAAGTGATTGAAATAATTTTTGGTTCCCACCTCAGAAAAGTCACATAATACTTACTGGTGACCCTTTATATCATTTATGTAAAGTGTTTAGTTTTCATTTGCTGTTAAGAAAGTTCTTGATGTAAGCATCATTTTTTCATGAGCAAGTATTTGAATTCCCAAAGCTACAGTGTGAGTTTCTGAAACTATAAGGAATATAAAAATGTGCTTATAGGGGCTGGGGATTTAGCTCAGCGGCATAAGCGCCTGCCTTGCAAGCAGGCAGTTGTGAGTTCGATCCCTGGTACCGATAAAAAGGAAAAAGACAAAAACAAAAAACAAAACAACAAAAAAAGTGCTTATAGTTGTCTTGTTGGAGTGCTGGGTGTTGAACCCAGGTCTCCATCATGTTGAATACATGTTCTACCACACAGCTACACCCACAGCTCGTTTGCTCGCCTTCTTTTCATCTTGCTAAGAGGTTGACCTATTTGTTTTTTTTTTTTTTTGTCTTTTTCATTTTTACCGGTACCAGGGATCGAACTCACGACCGCCTGCTTGCAAGGCAGGTGCTTATGCCGCTGAGCTAAATCCCCAGCCCCGACCTATTTGTTATTACAATATATTATATATAGATACATGAGTCACGGTATCGTCTCATTTTATAGTAGAATGCTTCTTTTTACCTTGGGTTAAAATTTGCTTTATTCATTACATTTATCAGAAGTTAGTGATAAGCCAGGCCTGATAGCACATGCTTATAATCTGGGGAAGCTGAGACAGGAGGATCACAGTTTTGAGTCTTACCTGCTTAATTTAGCAAGAACCTGTCTGTAAAATTAGACAAATAGGACATGGACATAGAGCATCCCTGGGTTAAACCCCAGTACTGAGAAAAAAAAGTCCATGCCATTTTTCAGTGCTGAGAATCAACCTGCTGGGCACGCCTGCCATAAACTACACCCTAATCCGTGAGATTAGTTTTCGTGGAAGATACCCTGTGCTACCCTTTTAAAACAGTTTCCAATGTATAGTGTTCTTCAGCAAGTGGCTGAATAGATTGGGAAATTTGAAATTTTGCACTTGCTTATTAATGTTAGCCTCAAAAGACAGGGACTGTAAAAAAAAAAAAAAGACAGGGACTGTTATATTAAAACAAAATTCAGAAGCAAGAAATGATTTACGCCAAAAATTATACACCAGCAGTTTTTTGCCTTTTTTTTTTTTTGGTATTGGGGATCGAAGAACTGAAGACCACATTTGCCAGGCAGATGCTTATGCCGCTGAGCTAAATCCCCAGCCCTGCCCACTAGTTTCTTTTTTTGTCTTTTTTGAGACAGGGTCGCTATGCAGTTCAGGCTGGCCTTGAGCTCACTTTGTAGCCCAGGCTGGTCTTGAACTCACAAGGATCCTCCCACCTCAGCTCCTGAGTGCTGGGATTACAGGCGTGAGCCACCATGTCTGGCTTGCCCGCTAGTTTCTTACCAAGCAATAGTTTGCCTTTGGAACCTTCAAACAAAAGTAGGATTAATTATGTTTCTTGCATGTAACCAGACACATGGAAGAAAAGCCTACTGCGTCGTACAAATTGAAATTCTTCTAGTTGATAACGCCACTTAAGAAAAGTGCAGATTTTTTGAAAAGTAAGAGGTTTACTCTGATAGTCCTCACTGCCTGCTTCAGTCCTTTCCTTCACTCCAGCTGATGGAGGAAATTGCTTTAAAGTTTGTTCCCTAGGTTGGCTGCCAAGAAGGAAATTCATACTCTAACAAGGTGTGAAGCTTATCTTACTGTCGCTAATGCCTCTTTGACCTTTTGGAAAGGTCCTAGTCACTCTTCAAGTTGAGCAGTTTTTCTCCTCTAAGAACTAATGAAGTTTCTTGTTTCTGATATACTGTCCTTGGCAAATGTTTGGAAGGCTGATATCGGCAGCTGTGATCCTGCAACTTTGAAAATTGGTAGCTTCCTAGAAAAGTTTTGGTTCTGGCATTAGGCCGGGCTACAGTGTTAGGAATGCCTTGTTGGAAGCTTCCGGTAGCATTTGTCATACGTATGCATCCTGGTTTTCTGCCTGTCCTAGTTCACCAGTTGTCAGGGATGATTGGCGTGTATCAGGACCTGGGCCCTGGTGCTGCTTGTTTTATTTTGACTTTTCCCTGCTCAAAATGATTTGTTAGTTCACTGCTACCCACTTTAGTTGTAAAATCCATATTGGAACTTAACCTTGGTCGGCTTTCTAGTCATTTGCTATTTGTGTAAAAGTTCACTCTCTATAATATTCCACTAAGTATATATGCAGTTAAGTGACTATCACTGCCATAAAAATCACCAAAAAGCATGCTTTTATTGTTTACTAAGTAGATCTCTTAAAGAAAAGGTTTTAATGTAAAATATATTCTAAACAATAAAGCAAAGCCCACCTCCCACACTGAGTCAGTGGAGGGTTGGTAGGCATCCAAAAGTGACTGCCAGCATTTGGATCTGTCAGAGCTGATTCTGATGGGCTTTAACTGTTCAGATCACTCTTGACTGTTCTTTATTATTAGCATTCATTGTGTTGGGTTCTTTCTCTATATCATCTTCAGAGCTGCTCAGTTAACAGCATAGTGTGGCTGTTAGCTTGAGGTTCTTAACCAGGTTTTGGTTGTATAAGCTAAAGGATTAATCCTTCATTTTTCTTGGACATTGTTCTGTGTCTAAGGATAATTTAGGCCATCTTGAAGTACTGTACTGGATGTCACATGATGAATAACCTTCAAAATACATTTCCAACCTCAGAACAACTTGATGGTAGTTCTGTGATGACCTTCACTAACACCACTGAGAACCAGTGGTATTATTATTATTTTTTGTCTTTTTCCTTTTTATCAGTACCAGGGATCGAACTCACGACTGCCTGCTTGCAAGGCAGGGGCTTATGCCGCTGAGCTAAATCCCCAGCCCATAGGTGGTTATTATTTAAGGCAGTGGTCAAACTGCTTTATAATTTATAGTAGTATTAACTGAGTCAGGGTGGGTATTACTTAGCTTTTACCTTAGTAGAATCGGGAATTTTTTTGTTTGGTTTTTATTTTATGAGACAGGGTCTCACTGTGTGCTCACTACGTAACCTAAGCTTGTCTTGAACCCATGGTGATCCTCCTGCCTCAGCCTCTCAAGTGTTGGGATTACAGCTGTGTGTGCCACCACACTTGATCTAAATGAACGTGTGTGGTTTTTTTTTTTTTTTTTTTTTTGGTACAAGGATCAATTGTACCTTGCGCTTGTTAGGCAGGTGCTTTATGCCACTAAGCTAAACCCCTGGTCCCTTAAATGAACTCTTAAGTGTATTGTTAAATTAGTTTTTGACTCCCAAGAGTATGAGCAGCACGTAATTTTTTTCATATTGTCATATTTTGCCATTTGTTACTAGAGAATTTAAGAAAGATGCTGTCATGATTGCTTTTAGTGCCAGCCATTGTGTTGCACAGTGGCACTAAGCCTAAAAACACATCACCAGTTCTAACTCATGTCATTCCTCTTCTAGGTTTTGGCTTGGTTTGAAGAAGGTGAAGAAACCATCACAGCCTTTGTAGAACCTTTTGTAATTCTACTTATATTAGTAGCCAATGCAATTGTAGGTGTGTGGCAGGTAAGCAGCAGTTTCTGCACTGCTAAATTGAAGTTTATGTAAATGACTTTAAACCACTAATCTCTTTCTGTTATGTTGAGTAAAGCTGTCGAAAGTCTAAATGTATTTTTTCTTTTGTTTAATTCACATATGGCAAAGTTTACACACCTCTTTTGTGTGTATTTTGCTGTTAAAACTGCACACCACTGGGCTGAGTGTGTAGTGCCATTGGTGGAATGCTTACCAAATACCTGTAAGGCCCAGGGCCTGAGTCCCAACACCACAGAAAATAAATTTCTCATCCTTTTTGGTAACAAGGAAGTAAGAAAACGGATGAGAGAGTGTGGGCACAGAGTTTCACTTGTAATCCCAGCACTTAGAAAACTGGGATGCAGGGGTGCTTGACCTCAGGAATTGGAGGCCAGCCTGGGCAGGATAGTAACACAACCCTGGAATCAACTCAGCAAAAAGCAAACAGGTAAGACAGCCAGGTGTGGTGGTGCATGTTTGTAATGCCAGCACTGGAGAGACTGAGGCAGGAGGGTCACTGTAGGGGTAATACCAGTCTGAAATACACAGGGAGACTGACTGTCTCAGAAACAAACCAAAAAAGACAAAAAAAAAAAAAAAAAAAAAAAAGAGAAGCTACTTAAAGGAAGTCAGAACACATGAGAATCAGTTTATCTGTCGTTGTTCTCTACATGCTTCCTGGGATAGACTGTATAATCTCAGTGTTACTTTTATTTTCTTTGGGTTTTGAGAGAATTTTAGTTATAAAAATGGCTTTAACCATAAGTTGTTTTCAGAGATGACGCTTGGCCTTTTTCTCTCAGTTGGCTTGGCTTGGCTTTCCTTTTTCCTTTTTTTGAGACGGGTCTCACTATGTGTGGTGCAGATGGGCCTGAAGCACATGGTGACCCTTCTGCGTCAGCCTGCCTGGTGTCGGGGGAACCGTCATACCCGTGGTGCTCAGGCTTTTCTTACCCACAGGCTGGAGAAGTTTTACTGCAGAAGTGTGACGGCACTCCTCCCTCCCCTTTATCGAATTGTTTGATGTCTGTGTTAGGATTGTTGATCTTTTAGGTTTTTTGTTTTGTAGTATTTTAATACTTAGATTAATACTTCAAGTTTAAATATTGATCTCTTAGGCTTTTTTAAATAGATTCCGTCATTGTACAGATTAAAATAAGAGTATGATTGTTTTTCTGGTTTTTGTTTGTGGGTATTGAAAATTGAATGAACCCAGGCTCTTTGTACTGATCTGTATCCCCTACCCCTCTTCTTTTCTTCTTTTTTTTTTTTTTTAAAAGCCAGTCAAATTTAGCAGTGCGGGGGTGGTATACCAACATTACCAACATTAGTGACACTAATGTTAATAAGTTCTGATAACCTACTGCCATCGCACCAGCCAACCCCTCTTCTTTTTTGAAGCAGAGTTTCAAGTAAGTTGTCCAGGCTGAGTTTGAATTTTTATCCTCTTGCCTCAGCCTCCTAGAGTGCTAGAATTACAGGCATGTACTGTACCACCATCATGCTCACAATGTTATTCTTGAGGGAAAAAAAAAATCCAGTTTTTCTCTTTATTGTATGTATTTTGAGACAGGGTCTCAGTATGCCGTTCAGGCTGGCCTTGAACTTGTGGCAGTTCTCCTGCCTCAGCCTCCTAAGTGTTAAGATCACAGATATCTGCCACCATGCCATCTTATACCTGTTATTCTTAAAACATCCTGGGTTTTTTGTTTGTTTTGTTTTGTTTTGTTTTGGTATTAGGGATCAAACAACTTCATGCTCACCAGGCAAGTGCTTCTACCGCTAAGTCCCTGGCCCTTTAAAATACCTTGGAAATACTCCTGTTGGAATTATCTATTGTTTTGTACTGAGAATTAAACTTGGGGCCTTGTGCTTACTAGGCAGGTGCTGTGCCGCTGAGCTGTATCTCCAGCCTTGGAATTGTTAACTTCTAAAATTTTTTTTTTGGAACCAGGAGTCAAACTCACAACCTCACTTACCAGGCAGGCACTGTGCCCCCCTGAGCTATGGATCCTTGGCCCTAATTTTATTAATAAATGTGATGATGTGGTAGGCTCATTGAATGATAGCCTGTTTAAATTTTGTATTTTTTGTGTTTGCAGTACCGTGATCTGATCTAGAAGATAGGCATGTGTTCTACCATTTAGTTACAATCTTGAGCTTTTAAATGAAATTGTGTGGTGGGGTTAAGCCCGGACTTTTTTTTTTTTTGTCTTTTTCCTTTTTATTGGTACTGGGGATCGAACTCACAATTGCCTGCTTGCAAGGCAGGCGCTTACGCCGCTGAGCTAAATCCCCAGCCCCCATGGGGGTTAAACCCAGTACCGCATAAATTGTAGGCAAGGACCCTTCCCCTGGATTACATCCCTAGCCCTTTTTATTTCATTTTGAGACAGGGTTTCCCTAAATTTTCTGGGCTGGTCTGGGACTTGTGATTCTCCTGCATCAGTCCTATGAATGCCTGGGACTGTAGGCATGTATCACCACAATAAGCTAAAAGGGAATTTTTGGTTTTTGTTTTATTTTTTATTTATTTATTTATTTATTTATTTATTTATTTTTGAATCAGGGTCTTGTTAGGCAGTTCAGGCTGACCTTGAGCTCACTTTGTAGCCCTAGCTGGTCTTGAACTCTGTGACAGTGTTCCTGCTACAGCCTCCTCAGTGCCGGGGTTACATGCACCTGCCACTGTGCACAGCTGGGCCATTGTATTTTTAATATAAAATTGTACATGCCCTTGTAAAATGTTCATTGCCTTCAGACAGCGACACCATACCGTTTAGACCTTTCGTTGGCAACAGCCTGATGCAGCACCTGTGTTACGCATTTGCTACCACTGCCTTAAGATCGGAGGGTGTTTTTTTTTTTTTTTTTTTGTGGTACCAGGGATCAATTTGACTACTTCGCGCTTGCCAGGCAGGCACTTATGCCACTGAGCTAAATCCTCAGCTTAAAATGTTAGTTGTTTAGTTACTGCAGGTGTCATTAGTGCACTTTTATTATCTTTTTTTTCTTTTTAGATTAAAATTGTAAAATTTTGATTCCTGAGCTACAAATACTTGCAGTAGCAGGAAGGCATTTACAATGTTTATCTTCTGGTTTCTTTTCTATAGGAAAGGAATGCTGAAAATGCAATCGAAGCCCTCAAGGAATATGAGCCTGAAATGGGCAAAGTGTATCGGCAGGACAGGAAGAGTGTGCAGCGGATTAAAGCTAAAGACATAGTTCCTGGGGATATTGTAGAAATTGCTGGTAAGTTGAGTTTGTCATTTTTCTTTTTTGTATTTTTCTGAATGTAGTCTTTTTCCCAAGCTCCTAATTATATTTAAAGTAATTAATGTTATGTTACAGCATTTTTACATCATCCAAAGATCCTGATTTTTGTAAGATTATTTTGACACATTTTGGCACTTCCTTTCATAGTGTTGGTGTTGGGGGGTGTTTTTTCAGTTGGTGTCTTCCTGTGTGGCCAGTCTGGTCTTGAACATCTGGTTTCAAATGGTCTCCGTAACTCAGGCTGTGGAGTAGTTGAAATTATAGACATGTATCTCTGTGCCTGCTGAGGTTTTTGTTTTTAAACAAGGAGTTGAGTTACTGTTCTTGTAGAACATTGTAGAGCGCTAGTGTTAGAGAGGTGTAACTGCCTGTTGGTTTGACAGCTGTTTGTTAGAATACTGCTTAGTGGTGTCTCATTTGATTTCTCTCACTGGGACATAGTATGTGGCCCTCAAAACTGAAGGGGGGAGTGCTTTATTTTGGCTCACATCTCAGAAGTTTCAGTCCTTGTTCAGCAGGCTTAAACACAAACTGCTAGGAGGCCCTGTGTAGAGGAAGATGCTGAAGTCCTGACACCAGGAAGCAGAGTAGAGAGAGAGAGATCCCACTCCAGGTCACCCTGAGACCACGGGTCATGAAGCACCACCTAAGACAAGCAGGCTTTAGCCCCTGAGGTGGTGGAGTTGCCAGTGCGTTCCACATCTAAACTGTAAGACGTGGTGATTTTCCTCCGGCTTTGGTTCTTGGCACAAATTATTTTTTAACATTTTTTTATTTCAAAGAGAAAAAAATAATTTCAAAACAAGATAAGAGGGATAACAATGGTTAATGCTTTGCATACTGTTATCTTTAAATTCAGAGCACAAGATAATAGGCATTTGTCTGAACAATATTAGGACAGACCCTTTCAGTGAACTAAGAGAAATAAGTGTAACTACCTTAATATCATGTATATGTTTGGGTTTTTTTTTTCCCCTTCCCTTTTTTCCTTTCCCCCATGTATTCCCATTTTACAATATCTTTTTTTTTTTTTTTTTTTTTTGTACCAGGGATGGAACTCATGACCTTGCATTTGTCAAGTGGGCACTTACACTATTGAGCTAAACCTCTGGCCCCCATTTTATAATATTTATTCTACATTTTGGATCTCATTTACTGTTTCAGCTTCTCATACTAGGGAGACAATTTGCACATGAATGTCTGATTTATTTCACTTATGTGTATGACCTTGAGTTGTATCCATTTACCTATAAAAGTTTCCAGTTTATCCTTTATGGCTGAGTAGTACTTCATTGTGGAAAAAGACCATACCTTTTTTATCTATTCTTCAGTTGGTGGGCATTTGGGTTTTTCCAAGATTTAGCTGTTACAAATTGTGCTGCTGTGAACATGGGTACACATCTATCACTGTGGTACAGTGTTTTTAATTCTTCTGGGAAGATACCCAGGAAGGGAATGATTGAGTCAAATGGGACCTTCCAATCTTAGTATTTTGAGGAATCTCTACACTGATTTCCACAGTGGCTGTACCAGCCTATAGTCTCACTAACAGAAAGGTTCCTTTTTGTTCATAGCCCTGCGAGCGTTTGTTGTTGGTTAATTTCTTTTTTTTTAGGAATGTTTTAATAGTTTTATTTAGTTATTTTTGGTGTTGGTAATTGAACTCATGATCTTGTGCTTGCCAGGCAGGTGCTATGCCACTGAGCTGTATCCATCCCCAGCCTGTTGGTTAATTTCTTTTCTTTTTTTTGGTCTTTTTCCTTTTTATTGGTACCATGGATCGAACTCACGACTGCCTGCCTTCTTGCTTGCAAGGCAGGCGCTTATGCCGTTGAGCTAAATCCCCAGCCCCGCTTAATTTCTTGATGATAGCCATTCTTTCTGGGGTAAGGTGGAATCTCAGTGTTGATTTAATTTGCATCTCTCAAATACTCATTAATGTTGAACATTTTTTCATATATTTATTCGTGGTTTGTATTTCTTCATCTGAGAAGTTTGTGTTCATCTCAGATGTCTTGGCACAAATGTAAAGTTATACCTGTACTTGTAGCTATGATATAGAGTTGATGGGTTTTGGGTAATTTCATGACTAAAAGCCCTGCTTGAAAATGCTTAGGTATCACACTGAGCCATGGATATTGGCTGTAGAGCATCTGTAAATCTGCAAGCTCACACTTAGTCCTCGCTGTTCCGGGTCAGTTTCATGCTTCAGACAGCCCAGAATCAGGGTGCTCCTGGAAGCAGCCAGTCTTAGTTTCTATTTTATTTTTGGCTATTTCATTTATTAGGAAGTCATTACATAGGGTTAGCTTTTCTTACACTCCCAGCTGAGAACATTTTTTCTTTTGTAAATTGTCTCATAGTAACGCTTGAAATTGATGTAGGGTGGGTACTTTTGTCTACATTGTCCTTTCAATGAAAAGAATTAAAAAAATTCACCCTGTAACCTGTGCTCTACAGTTTTGTTGTTTGGAAAAAAATTGCTTTTCATAGCTGTACTCATGCAAAAAGTTTGTTCCAGTTTAAAAAAAAATCATAGTGTTGCGTATATACCAATAAGTTGACTACTCAGGACCACAAAGCTTGTGCATATGAATGACTTGGATAGTGTTAGAAAAAGCATAATTCAGAAAGAAGTATTTTGGGTGTTAATTTTTTTGGGGGATGGATCTTTTTGAGACAGGGTGCCTTGAGCTCATGTTGTAGTTCAGGTTGGTTTTGAACTCACAACAATCCTCCCGCTTCAGCCTCCCAAGTGCACCACCACACTTGGTTAAAAATTTTTATTTTTAAATAATTTTAAAAAGTATGGAGAAAGTGAAATACTCACCTAGATGCTTCAGATGTTAACATTTCATCAGTACCCATTTTCAATCTGTGTGTACATTGTCAGTTTAGGCTGAGTTGTTGAATATGCTACACTGCACGTGTGTTATCTCTTTACTACTCCTAACTACTTTAGTTTTATAAAAGAAAGGACATTTTTGTAATACAAACATACTAGTATGTATCTAATCTGTGGTCCTTATTCAAAATTTACAACCTGTTACTTTCTTTTTTTATTGGTACCAGGGATCGAACTCACGACTGGCTGCTTGCAAGGCAGGCGCTTATGCTGCTGAGCTAAATACCCAGCCCCTTTCTTTTTATTTATTTATTTATTTATTTTTTGGTCTTTACAACCTGTTACTTTTAATACCAAAAAATGTGAGGGAATTCTGATGTGCCCTAGGAAACTGGTCAGAGCAAGGAAGTGAGAGAGGGGGGCTGTTTTAACAAACCAGGCAAAAAGAGAAAGGACAGTAGTATTAAGGGTGATGTGGGAAAGGTGGTTTTTGAGGGGCGGATACCATGGATGGATGCAGGGTCTCACACGCTTGGCAGAGGCATCGCAGATCTTGTTTTTTTTGAGGTGCCTGTAATCCTAGCCCTCGGGAAGCTGAATTAGAAGGGTCTCTGAGAGTTTCAGTCTGGCCTGGATTACTTAGTGAGTTCCAGGCCAGCATGAATTACATAGTAAAACCCTGTATCCAAAAAAGAAAAGGTCGTGTGATAGGGGGTGATGGTGCTAATAATAAGAGAGGAAGAAAAAACGAAGAACTTTGTCTTTCCCTAAGTCCATGGCAGGTGGAGAGCCTTGTCTCAGTATACATGTGAGCTTTGGTTTGAGTGTGCGCACTGTTTCTCCAGCTTCACCGGGGGGTATGCACTCAGCCTCTCAAAGAATGATTGCTGCTGGTTGGGCTACTTCAGCAGATCGGGTCTGCACAGAGACTTAACTTACCCTGCCGTGTTTCCCCTTAGTTTACATTCATAGAGGTCAGTGATAAACAGGAAGCTGGAGCCTTGCTACAAGGCAGGCATCATCTCTTGAGTTTCTCTTCAGTGTGGGTGGTTTTGGTTTCTTTTGAATTCTGGTTTTCTCTGGTCTTTCCCACTCTGGTAAGTCATTCTAACAACCTAGTAGACTGAGAGAAACTTGGGTCTTCTTTCTTGTTGTTGTTTTGTCTTTTTGAGACAAGGTCTCACTCTGTAGTTTAGGTTGGCCTTGAGCTTACTTTGTAGCCGAGGCTGGTCTCGAACTCACAATTATCCTTCTGCTCAGCCTCCCAAGTGCCAGGATTACAGGCCTGTACCACCATGCCCAGCTAAACTTGGGTCTTCTTGATTCTTGCTTTCTTATCCTTTGATTTTCTCATTGACTGGATCAGAAAACATCCAGCGAAGTGTTTGAACATCTGCCTCCACAGCCCAGCTGTCTGCTTGCACTGTGATTGTCATCCCTCCTAAGGAGCTCCAGCTTTCATTATTGTCTTGCAGTCCATTCAGTACAATAGCTAGAGTGGTTTTTTAAAAGGCATGCCACTATTTTATCTGCTAAAAAACCTTTAAGTAATTTTCCCACTGCACTTGAAATACAAAATTATTTGACCTAACTGATGCTGCAATGTGTAACTCCTGCTGACTTCACTTCAGTTTTTTTTTAACTTTTTTATCGGTACTGGGGATTGAACTCACGACCTCCTGCTTGTAAGGCAGGTGCTTATGCTGCCGAGCTAAACCCCCAGCCCCTCATTTCAGTTTTCAACAAGTACTGGGGATCTAACTCTGGCCTTGTGGGCACTGAACAAGTGCCCTGGTGCTTGCTGAGCCCACTCTCAGCCTCTTAGGCAGTTCTTTTTATTTTCTTTTTTCTTTTAGTTTTTTGAGACAAAGGTTTCCTTACATAGTTCAGGGTGGCCTTGAATTCTGTGTGGCCCAGGCTAACTCTCAACAATTCACCTAACTCAGCCTTCTGAGTCCTGTGATTATAGGTGTGTACCACCTGCCCGGCATTCCCAGCTTTCAGTACCATCAGATTTCTCACTTATTTTAACAAAAGTGAAGCATTTTTATAATTTGTGAATTTCCCCAGTGTACAAATCTTGGAAGTTTTAGGTTATGACCTAATAATTTATGTGACCCTTCTTGTACAT